TGGATAAGCGTTTCCTCTTGAGAATCAGGTCTATTGATAGTTGTGAAGTAAAATGTCAAAAAGGTTTTTTTACATAAATAACCTTAATCTACTCCGAACGTAGCTTCCTGTCTTACACAATAATGTTACCTCATCATACCCTCCTAAAATGGATTTCTAGTCAGGACATGACAGTTAAATGTTCCACGCTCCGAAATGATACATCTGTCCTGAAAGCTCTGAGGTATTTTCTTTCAGGGAGTGATTTTTTTTTTCCCCTCAGATTTGCAAAGGAAGGCTATCCTATACCAATCAAAACCTAGGAGTTCTAAAGCCCCACACTTTTTTTATGAGCTGTTATGAAAGCCACACTTCAGGGCAAAGAAGGAATCACTAGGGGAAAAGCTGCTTTATGCCTTTCCAGCTGCAGAAAGTAGTAACACTTCATGTGGGAGTGCTGTGTTCATTCTCAAATTTCTCCCCTGGAGGGATAATAGGACATCGCTTTTTTGGCTTTCAAAAGGCTCTTATAAACATCCTCTCCCTACACAAATGCCGCATTTGACCTCATTCTGCTCTCACTCAGTAAAACAGTTTTCTTAATGTCATGAGAATTATTGATGATTTTGTTGGTGACATAATTTCCTATAAGGTTTTCAGGAAGATTTGGAAATCATTATGTGGTTTCTCTCAGTTTGCCAGATGTGAAGGAGGATTAGGTGTTTAAACTGTCTGCTTGGTGGTTGGCTGGTATTAGATTATAAAATGCATTGTTATATCAGAAACAAGAATCAAAGGACAGGACTAAATAAGCACTTCCCTGGATAAAAAAAATTTAAAAAAAAAAAAAGTGTTAACAGTGTGGCCTCCAGAGATTGATGTTGGGAATGCTCTTTTAAAATATTTTAAAGCTGATTTAGAAGAGAGATGCTGAGCTCTTCTAGGTAAGAAAATAGAGTTGATTGGCACAGGCTGAAAGAAAGTTCCAAAACATTATGTGAGTGGGCAGAAGAGGAGCAGATGTGACCTCATTTTCAATCAATTCATCTTTTAAGTATTTCCTCCTTTCTCCACCTGATGAAATGCTAGATTGTTCTTTTGAAGGGTCTATTCAGCAGGGTTAATTTCTTATTTCTTATCCTACTGAGCCATTTGGTTTTTAAATGTATATTTCCTCTCTTCATGTGCATACATAATATATATGCCTACATAAATTATTCATGTGTTTAAAATTTTTCACGGGCTATATTTTGCCATCTTTTTCTCATTGCTTTGCTTTCATTTTCTTTTTCTCCTCACTTACTCGGTCCTGATACCTTTCTTATTGTTAGGTCGTTTTGTAGGAATAATGTGGTAAGATATTTGTTGTAAAATATTGACAATTTTATGACAATTTTTTAATCATTTTAAAATTCAGGAATTGCTGGGGGCCGGCAGGTGGCATGGTGGTTAAGGGCGCTGGACTCCCACATGGCCGACTGGTTTGAGTCCTAGACCTGGCAGCTTGCTTTCTCACTCTACTTCTCTCTCCTCTCTCTTGCTCTGTCCCTCTCTGGTCAAATTAAAATAAATAAATAAAGTGAAATAAAAAATAATTCTTTAAAAAAAAATTCAGGAATTGCTTAGCTCCCACACATGGAGAATTGAAATCTACCCACTATAGCCTTTTATGACTTCTAAGAAGTATTATAATTTGCTTTTTACTAGCTGTGGAAGGTGGGGCCTTTCAATAGCCTCGGTATTCTTTATATTTATACCCCTGTCATGGCATGTGTGCCCTTACCACTGAACTGACTCTGACAAACACAGCTTTATCAACTTTTGAAATATACTACACCACAGCTTATCGATCATTCGTTTAACACTTGTGTTTGTGCCTCAAAATTCAATTCAGACCAGCTAAAAAGTTCGTAGTAAATGCTCACAAGAAGAAAGATTTTTTTAAAAAAAAAACTTGTGGTGTATATTTATGATTCAATTTATGAGCTAAAGCATGAATTTTTATAAGGTTTCTGAAAGATAAAAATTACCTGGCGATCATAAAGATTTTAAGTTTTGGTGTTTCATAGACTTCTTGGTTAGTTGTCTGTGATAATAACTTGGAGCTGGGCCAGTGAAACAACAGTCTTACACATAGAAGTTTTTTATCCAAGAATAATAAATGTATTATATATTTCTTTCCTGTTGGTAACAAGAAACCTATATTTTGAACTGACTGATTCTTTTTTTAATTTATTCCCCCTTTAGTATTACCTGTTATTTTTCTGGCCTGATTAGAATCTCAAGCCTATTACTGTTTTACAACAAGGATCAAATTTAGCAGGAAACTATTTGCAAGATAAATTGGCCTAGAGAACGAAGACTAACATCAGCAGATTTACTTTATCATGTTTAAATAAAGTACTCATTTTCCATGAAGTCCCAAATTCTCTGCATACATGATTTATCCAATGTGAAGAAGAGAAGAAACTAAAAAAAGGATTATTCAAATTTTAGATTGGTTGGGAAGTGATATTTTCAGTTATCTCATTTGGAGTCTTGAAATGCTAGCTTAAACTGAGCCAAGCAGTGGCCTAAAATAATGGATAAAAAGTCAGTTTATATTCCAGGGAGACCGTAAGAAGTGAACCACAGCCAGGTGTTCTCCATTTACTCAGTCCATGAACAAATATGCACTGAGCACTTACTGTCTACAAGGTACCTGGGACACACAGATAACTATAATACATACTGTTTTTAGGGGGTGGTTAACTTTTCGCCATTGGGTGCATGTGCTCACCAGAGAGACACAGAGAGAAAGAAAGTGAGAAATTACCCCCCAGTGAGATGACCATGCTGCAGTTCCTTCATTTCCATTCTCCTCTTGGGATTTTAGGCACGCATGTACATGCACCTGGTGTGATTTTCAAGCCACCAGGTCTGGAACTTGAAACGTGTTCGTTCGGCCATGTGGGAATCTAGCACCTTAACCACTGCGCCACCTGCTGGCCCCAACGTAATACATACTTACTCTCCTCGGAGCCCACATGCTGACTGGAGAGAGACATGTAAGCACATATTCAGGTCATGCAGGAAGAGCAGTGTAAGAAATATTCACAGGAATGTGGGAGGAGGGGGCAGGTTTCCAGGAGCTGATTCCTGAATTTAAAGTTGATTTGAATTATGTGTGTGTGATGATAATTTTGCATGTACAGAATAGAATATTAGCAGTAGCAGTGTTACTACAAAGGTTTTGTGTGAAATCGCCCTTTTCCAGTTGTGATTTTGATTTATATAGTGAAAATTAAAAGTTTATGTTACTAAGAAATTTGTATTTTACCTTGCTAGCATCTCCTGTGCACACCCAGCATGCACACATGCCTTATGAGGGTTGGTTGAGTCTGGGGATGGACCACAACGTGAGGACTGTTGGGGATGCTCCCCTCTCCCTGTCTGTGTGCACCCCTTCTTGCTCTCTCTCCATCTTCCCCCCTTATGGAAGAAATAAAAATTAAAAACTTACCAAAAAAAGTGTATTCACATATGCTACCTAATGATAAAAGTGAGATTAAATGTCACAAACTTACTGTTCAAGTATCTACTTGAAATGGAGATGGCCATGGAAATTGCACACTGGCTAATTTAAAACTGGGGATACCATCGGTGCATAACTGCTATCCAAAAACAGAACTTATGGAACTGATGTGTTAATCATTTTTTTATATAAATTGAAATGGGTTAATCCGGTGGGAAGAAACCTGTTTAACCCTTATTTGATTCCTTAGATGAATTTCAATGCTTAGAAGGAATCAAAGTTTTCCACTCTGGGCATCCAGGTCTCATTATTTACCTAGAGGAAGAAGTCTTGAGTGGATTAGAAACAGCTGGATACCTCTACATGTCTTTGCCTTCTGCCTAAAAAGGGAATTCGCAGGACCAGCAGTTAGCATAATGGCTATGTCACTGGACTTCCATGTAGTTCACCACGGTTCGAGACCCGGACCCAGTGGCTTAAACTCAACGCCGGGCGTGTGTGCATGTGTGCCCAAGATCCCGAGAGGAGAATGGAGGAGAGAAGGGATTGCAGCGTGGCCATCCCCCTTGGAGCGGGGGGTGATTTCTCGCTTTCTATCTCTCTGTCTTTGTCTTTCTGGTGAGCACATGCACCCTATACCAAAATAAAAAAAAATCTTAAAAAAAAAAACAAAAAAACCTGAAGCATTGGGGCCAGCAGGTGACGTAATGATTAACGCCCTGGAGTCCCATATGGTCAAGCCCAGTTCAAGTCCTGGACCTGGCAGCTTGAAGATCACGCCAGGTGCATATATGTATGTGCATACCCCAAATCCCAGAGGAGAATGGAGGAGAAGGGACGATGGCGTGGATATTCCCCCCAGGGGATGATTTCTCGCTTCTGTCTCTCTTTCTCTCCGTGAGTGCACATGCCCTATAGCAAAAATCTTAGAAAACAAATAGAAGGAAAAAAAAAAATCTGAAGCATTAACTTGGCCACTTGTGACCGTGATTGCTGTTAGTGTATCAGAAGTCTTGAGAGAGACAAAAGAAGAACCCATTAGCAATGATATATTGGCAGCTTTCTGTATTGCAGAGTCTCAATGTTTTAGTCCCTAGGGTAAGTTTGGCTTGCACCGGTTAGCAGTATAGTATCCAACCTGGTTACCCTCCCAGGTCTAGTGTATCACATTGAAGTTGCTGACCTGGATTGCTTTGACAGAGCAGTTGCCATGTCAACCACATCCTTTTCTCCATTCTGATACTTCCTGGTTTGTCTTGATTGGATACTTAAAAAAAAAAAAAAAAACGGAATCCCTCCTAAATGAGTCTATTTCATTCAACAGATAATTCTTATCAGAATGTCTTTATCTTACTAAACTACACCCAGAGTTTGTATGGAAATTGTATATTTACATGAAGTTAACAGAAAGCACACTTTCTGTGTTTTCAGTTCTGCCTAGTTGCTAATCTCTTCCTAGTTTGGGGTCTTAAAATATACTTGGAGGTAGGGTCCTTACTTTCAAGGGATGACATCTTCGTCAGGTAAGGTCTGTTTATCTTGGGTTTATCCACTTTAAGCCCTGATGAAGCACAGGCAAGTTACTTGGCCTCTGTCTCTGCCCCCATGCCCTTGCCCGGCAGGACCGCAGCTCCCAGGAGAGTGAACTCAGCACTCTGAAGAAGTCAGTTCTGCACAGAATGTCAGAGAACGGCAGGCGGGCTTGCTTAGCACCCAGCTGGAGCTCAGCAAAGAGAAACAAGGGCACATTCCACCCTGCTACACGTTACTGAGTGAGTGAGTGAGACTGTGGGGAGCCCCAGCTTATGAGCACACCCTATTTTCTCTGGACTTCCAACTCCTATTTTATTTCCACCATTTCCTTCCTTACTTTCTATTTTTTTTTTTTTTTTTTTTTTGGCCACTGTTTCTTCTGGTCCTTCTATATGAGTAAGTGCTCCCAGAGAAAGGATGTTGATGTGATTTTTCGAATTAAAGGTGTTTTTTGAATAAGAGGGTTTTAAATTCACAGGACACAATATGACCCGTTATACTTTTTTGTTTTGTTTTTTGGAGAGGTTTTTTGCTACAGGGAGCGTGTGCTCTTCAGAAAGAGAGAGATAGAGACAGAGACAGAAAGTGAGAAATCACCCCCCAGGGGGGATGGCCATGTTACAATCCCTTCTCCTCTATTCTCTTGGAATCTTAGGCACACACACACACACACACACACACACACACACACACACACACACACACACACACACACACACAAACACGCCTGGCATGAGTTTAAGCCACTGGGCCCGGGCCTCCAACCATAGTCGACTACCTGGGAGTCCAGCGACATAGCCATTACGCCAACTGTGGGTCCTTGGCCTGTTATACTTTTAAGTACTGCAATTCCTGAGAAATGAGAACCATATAGGGTGCTCAGCAGTGATCATTTCCTAAAGTATCATAATTTGTCACAACATCATGTGACCACATCAGCTCGCTATTAAAAACTTAGTGTTCTAGGGTCTACCTGTGGTTTCAGATCCAAGCTGGCCTATATTATTGTCATTTGCTTTAAAGACCATTTTTGTAAGTCCACTTGATTCATATGACTTCTACCAACACATGACCATCTTGGAAAAAAAACATACGTGAGTAGGATTTGGAGGCAATGAGGAGAGGGGCTTTGTAAGTTGTAAAACAGATAGTGGCTTTTTTTTTCCTCACCTTTTCTCTGGTAACCCATATTAACATGTGGTGGTTATGTGTTTTGGTCATTTTCCACCTTGGTGAACATACTATCCTTGGAAAATATCTGCTGATTCCCTTTTCCATTTCTAGTCATTGATTCATTGACTTCTACCTGTGTAGTACTTCAGCTGGTACTTATGAAGGTGTCATTGTTACCAGTGAGTCACAAAGGCATCCACTGATTTTTATTCACTATTGGGAAGGAGGATGTAGGCCAGCCACAGTAACATGGGCAGCTAAGATACTGCCCCCAGGGCCAGCAGATGGCATGGTGGGTAAGGCACTGGACTTGCACATGACCAACCATAGTTCAAGTCCTGGGCCTGGCTGCTTGAAACACCCCCGGTGTGTGTGCTTACTGCTCACAATGGGAGCAGTAAGGAGAATGGAATAGAAGGAATTGTGGCATGGCTGTCTCCCATCAGGGGTGATTTCTCACTTTCTCTCTTACCATTGCTCTCTGTCTCTCCCACAAGTTCCCACCCTATGGCAAAAGAAAACCTTAATAAAAAATAAAAAATAAAAAAGTCCCCTATTCTGAGACCATATGGAACACGTGGAGTTTGATTCCTGATCCAAACTAAAAGCTGAGCACACTCCTATAATCCACCATGGATGCTTGAGGCAAGAGGATTTGACAACCAAATGCTGTCTTTAAGTTTTTGTTTTTGTTTTTGTATTTTTTCTTAAAGTATCTGGTTTCTCTTTTTAGGGTGGTTAAGTATTACACTGCTTTATAACCACAGACTCACAGAACATTAAGATTTGACATGAGTATTCTTAATTGACTTCGAGTTAGACAAACGATTCTCATATTTAGTTTTGCCTTCAGACTTAATGATATACAGACTTTGAGAAGTGAGCAAATTCAATTTTTTCGCAGCTGTTATATAACATTATTAAGAGTACAATACAGTGCAGAGAATACAAAGTTATGTCCTGTTGAACTCTTAAGGTATTTGCCAAGAACGGTCTATCTGATCGAAGCCCCTCTCTTCCATTTCCTATTCTCCATTCTCTGTCTTTTGCTTTTCTTCTCAAGAGTTCTCTCACCACCAAAGAAGAAATTTTAGGATTCATTTGTTCATTCTTATAGTAAATATTTATTGAGGAGTTATGTGCCAGAATAAGCATTGAGAATGCAACGATGCAGACAGTAGATGTAGCCCCTGCCCTTTAATAAAACTTACAGTCTAGTGCTAAGGTTTCGGGCCAAATCAAGCCCATCTCCTGTCTTTGTAAATAAAGTTTTATCAGAACACAGCCCGACCCATCCATTTACATGGTCCACAGCTGCTTTTGCACTACAATAGCTGACTTGAATAATTGCAACAAAGACCCTGTGATCTACAAAGCCAAAAATGTTTACTGCTGACTGTGGAACAACTTAGCTGACCCTGCTCTCATGGGTAATGATAGAGACATTACACAAATGGGGCTAGAGCCCGGGAAGACTTGTCAGCTCTCATGTCCTATAAACTGTCAGTATAAATTCTCCCGAGGATAGTGGGCCACTGGTGATAGAATATTGTAAGCGGGGAAAGTAACATGTTTGTGTATGAATTTTAGAAAAGTCCCTACAGCTACTTTGTAGAAAAATGACGAAGAGAGACAGTAAGTGCATGCATCAGGATGGAAAGCACTGAGGTATAGTGGTTAAGAGCATGAACTCTTGAGTCAGAATGGATTCAAATTTTGACTCTACCACATGACTGATTCTGATCTGGGGGATCTTCTCTGGGGGATTTTTTTTCTCTGTAAAATAAGGATGGTGTTACCATTGGCTGGTTGCTGTGATTTTATATACTCCTTCATTTTAAGTGTTTTTCTCAAAGTATTCTGTAACTTTAAGGTTTTTTTTGGCATTCCTTATCGGTTGGCATTTCTTTTCCTGAGTGTCATTTTGTATCATTTGGTTTAGTAAATATTTAATGGTTGTGTGTGTGGACGGGGGAGGGATGGTAATAATAGTACTTATCTCATGGGATAAAGTAAGTTAATACTTGTGATGCAGTTAGAATATAGTGTTTAGAGTAATCATAATTATTGTAACAATTCTGTTTAGAGGTGAAGGTGGTCTGAGTTAAAACAACAGCTGTGAAGATAATAGTAGTGACCAGTTTCAGGAGCTACATAGGTGATAGAATTGATCAAAATTCATGATTGATTGGCTATCAGTAGGATAGATAAGAGAACAAGAAGTTAATGACAAATGCAGGTTTGGGACATCATCTTTTGAGTGGATAATGGTTTCAGTCCCTGGAGTAGGGAAACAGTAAATGAGAGAGATTTGAGGTAAATGATAGGTTCGGTTTGGGGTATGTTCAATTTAGTTATCAGAGAGATATAAATAGAAACATTCAGGAAGCAGTTGGACTGTAAGGTCTGGAGATCAGAACTGTGATGTGGACTGGGCAAGTGGATGTAGGAATGACCAGTTTAAAACTGGCTACTGAGCTTGGGAGAAAATGAATAACCCAGACAAGGATGGAATGACAATAGACTTCTAACAGAACCCTGAAGAACACCAATGGTTTAAGATTGGAAAAAGATCCATTAACTCACAGAAAAGGTCAAAACACCTATTAGAGGAAGATAAGCATGAAGTTTTAATCCATTTTAGCTCTCTTACTAAAGTAGGTGAATTTGAGAAATATCCAAACTTGTAATTTTTATATTAGCAGAGGCCAACCTAAACTGTAGCATGTATTTTACTACATAGGTAGCTTGGTTTCATATACTATCATATTTTATATTTTTCTAACATACAATTTACCCTGTGAAACATTGGGTAATTTAGTGGATGCTATAGCTATGACTATAGATGTTTACTTCTGCCTGTTCAAACCACTCTTCTGTATTAAATGACATTTCCTTCTCATCTTTTACCTCTCTATTAATAATTCACTGGACCTATGATGTGAAAAATAAATAAAGTATGGGAGAATGTCTGTCTTCTTTTTGTGTTGTACTTTGTTGAACCCAATGTTTTACAGCATTTTACAATGATTTCTTTTTTTTTTTTTTTCTTTTTTCTTTTGGAGAGGTTTTTGCTATCCAGCGTATGCGCTCGCCAGACGGACAGAGAGAGACAGAGGGATAGAAAGCGATAAATCACCCCCCAGGGGGGATGGCCACACCGCAATCCCTTCTCCTCCATTCTCCTCTCGGGATCTTGGGCACATATACACACGCGCACGGCGTGAGTCTAAGCCACTGGGTCCAGGACTCGAACCGCGGTTGACTACGTGGGAATCCAGTGACATAGCCATTACACTAACTGCTGGTCCCCTTTACAATGATTTCTATATTTAATTTACTTACAACACTACCATAAGTGAGTATAGTTTTAAAAATAGCTAGAGTGGGACCTGCAGATGGTGTAATGGTTATGTCACTGGACTCCCACATAGTCGACTGTGGTTCAAGTCCAGAAGCTTCAGATTCACACCGGGCACATGTACATGTGTGCCCAAAATTCCAAGAGGAGAATGGAGGAGATTGCAGCATGGCCATCCCCTCTTGGGATTGATTTCTCACTTTCTGTCTCTCTGTCTCTTCAGTGAGCCCACACACCCTATAGCAAAAATCTCTCTAAAAAAGAAAAGATCTAGAAGACAAATGGGAGAAATTAATGCTTTTTACATCATCAGAACAACCTCTCAACTTCAATGGTAATCTCTGTGGTATAGAGTGATGCTTACTTTACACTTTTCTTAGAATTAGTTAATTTCCAAGAGATACCTCAGTCCCTCACGATTGTGTCTGGCAAGATGGCCTTCTACCTGTCTCTAACCTTTAGTAGGACTCTCAGATTTGGCTCAAGCTAAATCCCTGCTACTCAGATGTGTGGCAATCAAAAGCCTTATAAAGAAGTTTTATTGACCTATTACACATACATCTGAAGAAAGACATTGCATTTGTATAATAAGCCCATCCTGCAGTTTTTAAAGAATCATTTATTTAATTTTATTTATTTTTAATTTGACCAGAGAAAGACAAAGAGAGGGAATGTGAGAAAACAAACTGCCACTTCTGGAACCCAAACCACAGTCAGCCGTATGAGAGTCCAGCACCTTAACCACCACATTACCTGCCAGCCCCTATGCTGCATTTTTTAAAAAAGTTTTTAAGGGCATGTATACTTGCTCGAGAGAGAGAGAGACAGAGACAGTGAGAAGGAAAGTAAGAAATCACTCCCCAGAGGGGATGGCCCCACTGCAATCCCTTCTTCATCCTTCTGGGATCTTGGGCACATGCACACTTGCTGGTCATGATTTTTTCAAGCCACTGGATCTAAGACTCGAACTCAAGTTGGCCACATTGGAGTCCAGAAACATAACCACTGTGTCATCTGCTGGCCCCTGTTATAAGAGAAAAGTTGTTAAAAAATAAATAAATAAATCTTTAAGTGGCCAATAAATATGATTGGGTATATTGTCTGCTTCAGTTTTCAAGATTATGTCACCCTTTTATTTCTTTGAGCCATTTTGCAATTCTGTAGTTACAGAGAACTGATAGTTAAAAGGGTTCTTGTCCACTGAAATGGACATTGTGTCTGGTAGAATGTTATTGATTATGCTTTATGGATATTGACCAAAATAACCAATTTTGCATCTATTTGTAAATTCTTTAAAGTATTCTTGATGTTTACACAGTTGGCCCTCTGTGACTGTGGGTACAGCATTTGTGGATTTGACAAACTATGAATGAGAAATGTTATGTTGTTGTTGACGTGTACTGTGTAGTTAGGCCTACAACCATTTCATCTTAACAAACATGTAGACTTTTCTCTTGTTACCGCCTAAACAATGCAGTTGAACAACAATTTACCTAGCATGTACATTAAGCAACCTACAGATGATTTAAAGTATACAGGAGGAAGTGTGTATGCAAATATTATTCTCTTTTATAGAAAAGTCTTAAATGTTCATGGATTTTGGTACCCATGGGAGGGATCTTTGAACAAATCTTCCAAAGATAGCTAGGGATGACCATATTTTTGTCTGTTCTTTACATTTATCTTGGACCAGTTGTAGCATCTTACCAGTTTCTTTTTTAATGGCTTAATTAAAATTGAAATCCCATGATTTTTTAAAATCTCATTTAGTGTGTGTGTGTGTGTGTGTGTGTGTGTATAACATCTCTAGAAAAATTCACAAGAAATTCATATCTGTCATTGTACAGAAGGGATGGCAGGAAAAGTTGTTAAAAATAAATAAATAAATCTTTAAGTGGCCAATAAATATGATTGGGTATATTGTCTGGTTCAATTTTCCAGATTATGCCACCCTTTCATTTCTTTGAGCCATTTTGCAATTCTGTAGTTACAGAGAACTGATAGTTAAAAGGGTTCTTGTCCACTGAAATGGACATTAATAATAATGTCCATAATCCAGAGGCAGTATCCCACATTTAAGCCTCAGACATTCATCTTGTTTTTCGCTACATGCTCTTTTGACTTATGTATCATCTGCTTATATTAACTAAACAAATTCTTGATTTTGAAAAAAATTTTTTGAACTCTTTTAAGTCAATCCATAGCCATCCTTTACCTACTAAATTTTCATTTGAAATAAATGACCTGTAGAGATTTTTTTGTCTCTAAATAAATTGCCAGTAGAAAGCAACCCACACATCCACATCATTCCTAGAGCTTTCCTTCAGTTTTCTTAAAAACAAGTTTTATACCTTACTTTTCAAGGTAGTTCTAACGCTGTAAGAAAACTTTGATAAAAGGGTGCTAATTCTATTATTAATCTGTTAAAGAGTCACATAATCTTAGTGTAGAGTGAAGTGGTAGACCAGTTAGCCTATTTTGCAGTACTAAATTCACCTGGCCTCTTCTCCAGCTGTGTATACTCTACAGTCCTTTTGTCTAATTATAGCTAGCAGCTCTCCCTTTGAGCTGGTGGTTCTCAAGCTTAGATGGCATATTAAAATCACCTGGGGTGCTTTTAAAAATCCAAATGCCCAGACCAATTAAATCAGAATGTCTGAGAGTGCAGCACAGACATCAGTGTTTTTTAAAACCACTGAGATGATGCTAATGTTGAGAAACAGGTTTTGTGCAAAGAATCGTGCTGCTTTAGCAAAAACATAACTTGTATAGCTCAAAAGCAAAAGCACTCAGCATTTCTAACCAAAAGATCTGCATGTAGGTGGTGAAGAAAGGCCAAACAGAAAAGAGAGGCACCCATTACTGAATATTCTTCATGCAGAATGTGTTTTTGCTTGTGCTACCTCTGAAATGAGACATGCTAGGTATTGGGTGTGATTGCAGTTACTATTTGAGTTAGTAGGAATTTTATTTATAGCTCTCAATTTTGCAAACTTTCACCGAATAGAAAATACTCAGTTGGGACAATGGAGTGCATCTCCCTGCCTTGTTCTTCTGCTATTTAGGGCACAAAGCCAGCCTAGTGATGGGTGACATCATCTAATACCACTGCACCATATGGCTGTATTACTGGCGAAAGGTTATATTTGTCATACACTGGACAGCAGGGAAAACCACATATTGTACAGTGTGACCTGCTAAGTGTCTGTTTGAATCAAAGATCCTACAACCTCTTTGCTCTAACCCTTAACAATATGCTTTATTAAGAGACCTTTGATAGAGAGAGTTACATTTGTAAGAGGAGTTGTAAAAAAGGAAAAAAGTGTCCATTCAAACAGTAATGGGAGAAAATAACCCATTTCGTGGTATTTGTTGTCCACCCTGAAAGTTGTCTTCTAGTGGGTAATCCTAATTAATGACCTGCTTGTATTTCACACTTAAGCCATTTAGTTGTTGCCTTAGCCTTTTTTAAAAAACATAAATATTGGTGTCATAAGCTCTGCTGTGGTGGTTTGCTTTCATGTACTCATTATATATCCCCCTCCCTTTTGTATAGGAAGACAGAGATGTCAATAACCCCATCCCTAACCGAGGAGGCAATGGATTAGTTCCTGGGGATGACAGATTCAAACCAGTGGTACCATGGCCTCATGTTGAAGGAGTAGAAGTGGACTTAGAGTCTATTAGAAGAAAAAACAAGGCCAAAAATGAACAAGAACACCATGCTGGAGGAGATTCCCAGAAAGACATAATCCAGAGGCAGTATCTCACATTTAAGCCTCAGACATTCACCTACCATGATCCTGTGCTACGCCCAGGGATCCTCGGTAACTTTGAACCTAAAGAACCTGAGCCTCATGGAGTGGTTGGTGGCCCTGGAGAGAAAGCCAAGCCATTGGTTTTGGGACCAGAATTCAAACATGCAATTCAAGCCAGCATTAAAGAGTTTGGATTTAACATGGTGGCAAGTGACATGATCTCACTGGACCGCAGCGTCAATGATTTACGTCAAGAAGAGTAAGCGTACATCCTCTTCTTTCTAAAATTGGGGCAACTATTGTTTTGATAGATATTTAGGTTCAGTTAGATTGTTAGAATGGAGAAAATATGTATGCCTTTATTTCAAGGAAATAAGAGGATCATTGGTCAGCAAAATGGCCAGAAGAAGGAGGTCCCTCTGCCATCGTATTGAAGGTATGATGTATAAAATTCTGGAGTCTTCTACATCAAAATCTGGTTCCTATATTGGCAGCAAATGTTTGTTTCCAGTCTATAATGAGCAAATGAGCTTGCACCAGGATGTAAATCAACTACACTATTAAATGCTTTGTTTCATTCAACTGACAATTTTTTAATAGCAAAACTTCCTTGATGTGTTGATTTTCATTCTGGAACAAGCTCCTTATCTTGTTGTGGAACAATGGCAAATATTCATTCTGCTCTGGATATCTCATGTAATTAACTAGACTTATACTTCCTTTATTTTGTTTTCCCTTGGTACTGAAACTGGAAATTGAAATACTTGCATTTAAGTAAAACGAGCACCCAGATAAAACTATTGCCTACTATTTCAAGTTCTTTTCACATGGTATGATTTTGGAAATAAAAGAGTTCCATCTCTTGACTTTTAGTAGACAATGATTATTGAATGAACTGAAAGCTTTCCTCTTTCAGTGTATTCAATAACTAGTTCTACTACTATAGCTTTCATTAATATGGAGGCAGATTTAATTTACTGCTATTAGAAAACTCAAGAAGTATTCCAGATGATGTATCGTTAGTATAATCTTCATTTTAAAAGGTTAACAGAGCAGGCACACTACACACACACACACACACACACACACACACACACACCCCAGCATCCTTTATAACCACTAAGTGAATTTTCATGTCTAATGCACTGTTATTCAGTAGACTTTGGACAGTCAAACATCTGTTGATCAGAATGAGAAAGGATGAGTGAAATGCAAAGAAAGTAGAAGTATAGTATTGTGATGGTGAGAGATATAAACTCCTAGCAAGAGAAGGCTTAGAGCATCTCAGGTGCTATGAGGAACAATCATGTAGTTAGTTATTCCAATAGAGACTTACCTAGTCATAAGGTTGCCAGATTAAACAAATAAAATATTCAAGATGCCCAATTAAATTTGGGTTTCAGATAAATAGTGAAAAAAAAATGTAATCTAAGTATGTCCCAATTACTGCACAGGACCTAAAATTTTTGTCATTTATCTGAAATCTAAATTTCACTGGATGTCCTGTATTTTATTTGGCAACCCTTCCAGTCAGATGGTGAGGGTGGTTTTGGAGTTACAGCTGCCACGTGAGCATTCTTTAGAACCCGTAATAGGGTCTGCAGTCCTCATCTAGAGTGTCCCGGTCACCTTAAATGTAGCACTGAGTCATACTGCTGGTCTCTCTGAGAGAGGTATTGAGAACTAATTGAGAGCATTCTCAGCACTGTGCTGGAAGGGAAGGGGAGACACACACACATACACACACACACAAATTAACATTTATTGGCTTTCTAGTACATTCCATACTTATGACTTCCATAGGTTACTGAATTCTCACACTTAAACTGTGGGAGAGTTCCTACCTGTGGGTGTGAAATCTGAAGCTCCAATATGTGACTTCTTCATATTTACACAGCTAAATGGCAAAGCTGCCGTTCCCCCCTAGGTAGGTGGTTTGGTGAGAAAGTCCCTTCTCATGCCACCACACCGTGCTTAGATATAGACTTGTCTTTCTGGACATCACACCTCAGTGCAGTTGTTACAGTTGGAGGGTGAGCTTAGCAGTGTGGAAGTGGAGATTTTAGCACAGAAACTGTTTATGAAAAAAAAAATTTAAAAACAATAACAATAACAAAAAACACTGTTTATAAAAAGCATGCCAGGGGCCAGCAGGTGGCATGGTGGTTAAGTTGCTGGACTCCCACATGGCCAGCAATTTAAGTCCCATACCAGGTGGCTTGCTTTCTCACTTTCCTTCTCTCTGTCTTTCTGGTAAAACTTAAAAATAACAATGATAAATAAAATTACATAAGACAATTTTTAAAAACATGCCATTGTAAAACATCAGTATAAATATGGCTAACTTTTTAATAGAAGAAATGTGCAAAAAAGTCAAATGATGTCCAAGGATTCCAGAGGAAATCACTGCAGGGAGATTCCACGTCATCCTGTCTTCCTTCTGCTTTACCCTTCACATCCATTTTGCCAGCAAGGTCACTTGTTCATGCCACCAAAATGTAGTTCAGATCACTGCTGAGGTCCCTTCCCTTTATTCCCACTGCTCCTCCAGATCATGTAACCAGTCGTCATCTCCTGGATTCCTGCAAATGCCTTTTTATTGGTCTCTCCGTTTCTGTTTTTGCTTCTTACTGCCAGCTCCCACAGAAACCCGTGTGGTCTTTTAGAGACCTCAATCTGGCCTATCAAATGTCATTCTGTGCCTATCTGTTGCATTTTAAATAGAGCCCAAATTGCCAACCCGTGGCATCCCCCATGCCGTGACCCTGACCTGCCTTGCCTCCCTCCTCTTGTCCAAAATACTTTAGCTGTGGACCTGCCTTGGGTCCTTGGCATGGGCTCTCCCCTCTTCTGTGAGTGCTCTTTTCCTTCTTCCCTTCCATCCTGTAGGTCTCAGTTGGACTTCTCTGACTAATGTTCACTATTTTAGGAATGCCCTAATTTAGCCTCCATTTTTGCTTCTGGCCATCTTGTTCTTAGTATTTATCAAAATTTACAATTGGCGACTGGTGTATGTGGCTGTTTATGAGTGTCTTTCTCTGTAGATGGTAAGTTCCTGAGAGAAAGCACTATGTCTATTTTCTTCACCAAGTTTTCCCAGTAACATGTAAGTAGCTTAGTCGTACCCAGTTGGAAATAACTGCTGAATGATTGAGTGATCGAGTGAATGAATTAAAGTCTTTCAAGGTTAAACCTTGACTCCATTACCAGATGGGAGATCTTTGACTAGCTACTTATTTTCTCTAAACCACAGTTCCTAATTTTTAAAATAGTCTAAGAATACGAAGTCCTGGGATTGGCCCTAGAATTAACAACATAATAGACCAAAAGATGTTTGTTTGTTTGTTTGTTTTTTATTACAGCCTATTGGTTGGAAACTTAAGATTTATTTGGCTATTTTTATTCCGATGGTACTTCCTTCAGTCACTTCTTAGCAACGCTTGCATGCTTTCAGTTGCTATTTAACGTTGATGTTCTCTGCTGCTTTTCGGAAACATAACTGTCACTTGCTGCCTTATGTACAACATCTTGCTTCTTGTACCTTCTGCGATGCCAAAGCCTTCATCTCTCCTTTGAAAATTTTAAATACACTGGTCGCCATCTGAACCTCCCATCTCTCTGGTCCTCCTTGCCCTCTTGTCATTTCTTTCCATCTCTTTTTCTTCCTCCCTCCCATCTTTGTTTTCTTCCTTTTTTCTTTCTCCTTCTCTTCCTCCCTTTCTTCCTTTTCTCTCCCTTCCCTCTCTTCCTTTTTCCTCCCTCCCTTCCCTGTCCCCTCCTTCCTCTCTTCCTTTTTCTTTTCTCTTGCCTTCTTTTATCTTCCTTCCTTCCTTCCTTTCTCCATTCCTTGCCTAGATCCGTTGTCTCCCATCTTCTTTTTCTGGCATAACTTGAGGTAGGGTGCTATGCATTTCTGTGTGTCACTCCTGTCAATGTGGTCATTTTATTTAGGGTAAATTGTTGAGAGCTTTTCTCATTCTCCACCTGTGTTCGAGGCTCTCGCATATGTATGAGAGTCGTGTATATGCATGTGTGACCTCCTTCGGGAAGTATGTGCGTGTGTCTTCCATCACATAGAAGGGCCCAAGACGGTCCAGCAAATGCCGCTAAGCCTTCCTTTGAACTTCTATAGTAGTTATAAACATTTTTAAACATTTTAAAGTACTCAAATTTAATAACCCTCAGAAATGTCTTATAAACTCAATCCAAACTATTTTTAAGCTATATTTTTTCTCATACTTAAAAAAAAATGAAATAGGTTTTATTCCTCTTTGAATATTTAAAATTCGGTGCAGAGTACAAAAAATTATTTTTAAGTAGTGTTATTTATGTTAGAATGTGGACAATCTTAAGACTGTTCTCTAAAATTATAAATTAAAAAAAGCAGTGAATAACCCCCCTAAGTTTTGCATGATATTCAGCATGCATATTATCACTGTTCTGCTGTTAGTGACACCATGCTGAAGACAATTCTTACATCCATATGACCCATATGCCCTCCCTCACCCTCATCCCTCCTGGAGAACATGCTCATGAACCCCTTGGAGACTGGCTTGGTGTGTCTGGCTTTCTGCAGAAGCTTTCTGCTTTAGACTATAGACCGTAACAGCCTGTTTCCTCATGCCTCTGTCAGTTATATAAATGAGACACCTGCGAAGCTTAGAAACCAAGCTTTGGGCTGTTTGTCCAGCTGTGACATCCGACACTATGGTGAGCTTGTTCATTCTTGTGTCCGTTCCGTAGAATTTTCAGATGATCGTTCTCTACGCTAGAAGCAGTAGAGAACGGCCCAGCTGCCAGCATGACTCATGTATTCGATAGCTTTGAATTGCATTCACCGGCTGAGTAATTTACTGGCTTGATTGCTTGTTAAAAGGGTGAGTAACATTATTTCAAGAGAACTCGAGGCCTACTTCTTTTTCAAAGACTTGGCCGAGAATGACTTCACCTATCTTCACATGTATTTTCTATGAAAAGAAGCATATGATTTTCTTCCCAGTTCAAAAGTTAGTAATTGAGTAGCTCCCATATGCAATGTACGGTGCTAGTGTCCCGTGGTGAAAAGATACAGATCCTGCCTTCAAGGGGCTCACAGTTACCCCCAGGTCAAACGCCATAATATAAGGCAGAGTAGAAAAGCCACAGGAAAACTGGAGCAAGATGGTGTGACGCAGAGGAGTGAGAGTCACACTGAGTATGGAGGACTCAGAAAAGGATTCGTGGAAGGGATGCTACCAAGATCTGTGAAGGGTGAGTAGG